TGCATAGTCAATAAAACACAAGTAAACATCTTTCTGGTATTCTTTGCTTTCAGCCAAGATCCATCTGACATCAGCAATGATATCCCTCATTCCACGTCCTCTTCTGAATCCAGTTTGCATTTTTGGAAGTTCTCTGTCAGTATATTGCTGTAACCATTTTTGAATTATCTTCAGTAAGATTTTACTTAAATGCGGTATTAATGATACTGTTTGATAATTTCCACATTCTGTGGGATCACTTTTCTTTGGAATGGGTACAAATATGGATCTTTTCCAGTCATTTTGGAAGAAAAGTTGGGCAATCTACTTCTGTAGTGATACTGCCTCAGAAACCCAAGGAGGGGTCATTGTGAGTTGAGTCCGACTCGACAGCACATAACAACCACAACAACATCCAGTCAGCTGGCCGGGTAGCTGCTTTCCAGATCTCTGGGCTGAGCCGAGTGCGTGCCTCCAGTGGGGCACCGTTGGTTGAAACATCTCGGTGGGTGCCCCGTCAGTTCCCGGAGCCTTGCTCTTGCCACTTCCTTCAGTGCAGCTTCGACTTCTTACTTCAGAGCCATTGGTTCTTGAACATGTTCCACCTCCTGAAATGGATGAAGATTGACCAGTTCTTTTTGAAGAATCACCGGTACATTCTTCTCTGTTGTTGTTGTTATGTGCTGTTGAGTTGGCCCCGATTCATAGTAACCCCTCCTTGGGTTTCTGAGGTGGTATCACTATGGAATAGATTGCCTTAACCTTCCTTCCGAGGAGTGGCTGGTGGGTTTGAGCCTCCAGCCTCTGGTTAGCAGTCAAGTGTCATGCGAATGGTGATCCCCACCTCCTGGGCCCTGGCAGGCCCCATTCTTCTGCCCCTTAGGCATGATAGCCATGTCCCTTCAGCTTTTGGTGGGGGCTCCATCCTCTTGATACACCATAATGGCAGCCCCATCCACCTGGCACACTTTGCAGCCGCATTGGCAAAGGCCTGGTTTTTGAAGCAGGAAGCTGTGGCCCCACCCTTTGAGACCCAGGAGACTGTGGCCTCACCCTTTGCGACAGAGAAGGCCCTGCTGCCCGTGCTTCTTCCAACAGTTGTGCTGATCCCCGAGCTGCTCCAGCGACGGTCCTTTTCTGTTCTTGGAGGACAGCAGAGGTGGCTCCTTTAGCCTGTTTCCTGCCTGTAGAAGTCCAAGAGCAGACAGCATTCTTTCCTGCTGTTCTTTCTCCATCCTCTTTAGTCTTAGCTGATGGATTTTCTGCTGTGGGAGTTGGTTAGATCCATCAGTCACAGACTTAATCTCTTTAACAAAAGACTGTGTAGCCATGTGCTTGGTGAGCATTCTAGGACATGTGTCCTTAGTTTGTACAACAGAATTTTCCAAAGTTTTGTTTTCATTTTGCATGATTCTTTTTTCTTTTTTTATGTATTTTGTTTATATATTTAACTTTTTATTGTGATTTGGCTGAAAGTTCATGAGCAAGTTGATTTTCCGTTCAGTGGTTCATAGACGTTTTGTGACGTTGATTGTAATCCCCACAACGTAGCAGCACTCTTCCTACCTTCTCCTTGTGGTTACCATTTCTCTTTGTCTTTCTTCCCTAGGCATTCCTGCCTTCTCAGTTGTATCCCTGTGCATTTTTAAGTCCACCTCTTTTCACTTGTATTTTACTATAAGCAGCAAGGAGAAACCACGTGGTCTCTGTAAGATCTGTGTAGAAACCTCTTCAGCCAGATATCCAAGTCCAGCCCTTACGAGTTCACCCTTCTACTCTTCAGCCAGGTATCCGAGTCCATCCCTTATGAGTTCGCCCTTCCAGCAAACACTGGGACACAGCTCAGACAACTCTAGGTCACTGCACAGAAACGTTGCCTCATCTCTTGTCCAGTCGCACATTCATAATTCCCTTTGAAAGCTTCTCTCGAGTCACATTGAGCGTCCATTTCTAGCAATGTTCTCTGGCTGGCTCCATATGCATCCTCTGAGGTGAGACTTCTCTGTAGCTCTGCTCACGTCCTTCTGAGCCCTCCCCAGAACTGCCCGTGACATCCATAATTCTACCCGCAGTCTCGTCAAGGCAGCCCAGGCTTTGACCGTTAGTCCCTTAGAGTTCTTCACGCCTCTGCCCACCACCACTGGAACCTGTGGGTACTTGTTAGAGCAGCCCTTTGTGCCACGTTGTCTTGGTTCTCTAGTGCTGACCCATGGTCTCGTCAAGGCAGCCCAGGCTTTGACTCTAGTCCCTTAGAGCTCTTCACGCCTCTGCCCACCACCACTGGCACCTGTGGGTACCTGTTGGAGCAGCTGTGCCCTTTGTGCCACGCTGTCTTGGTTCTCTAGTGCTGTTGTGTGGAAGCGGCGCAGGGGGACGGCTTTCAGAAACACTTTATTTTCCACAGTTGGGAGGCTGGAGGCTGGCGTCCAGGGAGCTCGCTCCGGGGAAGGCTCTCTGTCGGCTCTGGGACTGTCCTCGTCGCTCCAGCTTCTGCTTCTAGTGCCTTGAGAGCTGCATGGGGCTCGGCATCTCTCTCCCCCCGTTTCTGCTGCTTGCTTGCGTTTAATCTTTTTACATCTCCCAAGAGATTGACTTACGACACACCCGTGCCGATCCTGTCTCAGTAACATAGCAAAGACGCCCAGTCCCAAATGGTGTCACAACCAGAGGCTGCAAGGTGGGGATGTACAGCACGTGTTCTGGGGACATGGGTCACCATTCAGTCCACAGCAGGTTCCAGTGGCTGGGTTTTTGGAAGTCGAGTGTCAGGCTTTTCTTCCCTGGTGCCTGTACGTGGACTCCAACCTGCAGCCGTTGGGTCAGAGCTGAGCACACTCCCCATTCTCACCCACCAGGGATCCCTAGTGCTTCCAGCAGAGGTGTTTTCTTTGATGGGGAGCAAAGGTCCAGTGAGGGGCAGACAGCTGGTGTGTGATGCACTGGGGGGGAGGGGGAGGATGCACCCTGGGTCTTCATGGTGGCCCAGCTCTGCAGCTGGAGTTGGGGTGTCAGTGGTCTCAGGATGTGGACTGCAGGCTGGTGGTAGTTCATGTCTTTATTGGCCTTAGTCCAGTCCTTGATGTACAGCAGAGGGAGGGTGTCTTTGTGGGAGAAGCTGAGTTTTCAGCAGGCTCCCATGACCATGGGGTCCATGGAGGAGGGCGGCTCAGTGTCTTAGTAAATTCAGAGGAGTTTGCTCCCCTGAAGACAGTGTCATGACGGGTGGCTGCAGAGTGGACAGGGTGTGTGGTCAGAGCCCACAGGGCCCCACAGCCATGCACGTTGACCTTTGGATGCGTTTTGTGTGGAGTCCTGCTTGGTGCGTGGTCACAGTCTAGGCGGCATAGCAGTCAGTGACAGGGCTGCTCTTCCTTTGGGACTGCCCCATATGTGTGGCATCCTCACCGTGATACCTTTGTGGAGCTCAGAGTTCTGAAACATCTGGCCCTGGAGATTTGGGATATGAGCACCTCAGCTACTAACTGGTGGCTTGAGCCTGGCCCCAGCTCCCTGCAGTGTGGCTTCCTGTGCGCCAGCTCCCTGCGCCCACAGCTCCCTGCTTCCTGGTTCCCCACAGCCCCAGTCACTGCAGTGTGGCTCCCTGTGGCCCAGGCTGCCTGCACCCTGGCTCTCCATGGCCCCAGCTCCTTGTGATCCTGGCTCCCTGTGGCCATGGCTCCCCGCTGCCTGGCTCCCCATGGCCCCAGCTCCCCACAGTGTGGCTCCCCTTGGACCTGGTTCCCTGCAGCCATGGCTCCCCAAGGCCCTGGCACCCTGTACCCTGGCTCTCTGTTTCCTGCTTCTCCACAGCCCCAGTCCCTACAATGTGGCGCCCCATGGCCCTAGCTCCCTGCACCCCAGCTTCCTATGGCCCCAGTCCCTGCAGTGTGGCTCCCCATGGCCCTAGCTCCCTGCACCCCAGCTTCCCATGGCCCCAGTCCCTACAGTGTGGCGCCCCATGGCCCTAGCTCCCTGCACCCCAGCTTCCCACGGCCCCAGTCCCTACAGTGTGGTGCCCCATGGCCCTAGATCCCTGCACCCCAGCTTCCCATGGCCCCAGTCCCTGTAGTGTGGCACCCCATGGCCCTAGCTCCCTGCACCCCAGCTTCCCATGGCCCCAGTCCCTGCAGTGTGGCTCCCCATGGCTCTGGCTCCCTGCACCCCAGCTTCCCATGGCCCCAGTCCCTGCAGTGTGGCACCCCATGGCCCTAGCTCCCTGCACCCCAGCTTCCCATGGCCCCAGTCCCTGCCGTGTGGCTCCCCATGGCCCTGGCTCCCTATATCCTGGCTTCCTGCAGCCATGGCTCCCTGCACCCCAGCTTCCTGGTTCCCCGTGGCCCTAGTTCCTGCAGTGTAGCTTCCTGTGGCAGTACTTGGAGGCCAGGGGGCACTTGATTACTCTGGTTGTCCCTGCTGTGTGCCTAGGTGGGGGAAGCTAGGCCTGACATAGGACATGGGGTGGCCACATAGGTTCCCTGAGCCAGAATGGAGAAGGAGCGTGCTCTAGGGCTGGGCGGGCCTGGGTGGGGCAGTGTGCACACATCTGGGTGAGGGACTTGGTGTGGAGTGGGGGAAATTGGTAGAGACCTTGAAGTCTGAGTTCATGACCAGACTTAGGAATCCAGGGTAACAGTCTTCTAGGTTTATTATAGAAAATGAATGAAAGAAAGTTGATCCCTGGCCACCAAGCACTGATGCTGGGCTCTGCTCACGTCTGGGCAGCGTGTTCTCCCCGCTCTGGAGCAGTGAGCTTCGCCGGTGTTTGGGCTTGCTGACCCAGCTCCCGGGCAGTGGACTGTGGGGCCCACCCTAAAACGCTGATCACTTGGTGCTGTCTGACGCGGAACACGCCGAGCTCTTCTTGGTCCTGGAGTGTGTGGGTGGGCCATGGTGGCCTCCTGAGTCCCCCAGGCCGGCCCACCCTGAGGACGAGGTGACAGGGGAGAGCACCGCTGCCTGGCCAGGGGAGTGTGTTCACCATCCCGTGTGTGCCAACAGGTGATCCAGCAGCCTCAGAAGCCGGGAGCCCTCCTGCGCCCTCCCCAGGTGACACTGACGCAGACGCCCATGGTCGCCCTGCGGCAGCCACACAACCGTATCATGCTAACCACGCCGCAGCAGATCCAGCTCAACCCCCTGCAGCCGGGTGAGGCTCAGTCTGTCCCAACAAATGTGTGATGGAACCGGGAGGGTGGTGCTTGAGCAGGGAGGCCCAGACTTCACCATATCCCGAGGCGTTAACCAGGGGGCTTTCAGCGTTTCCCTTAGCCAGTTAGGAGGGTGGTTGCTTCCCCTTTAGCTCTCTACGTGCAACACGAGTAGCAACTCGTGTTTCGCCTGCAATGGTCCTCCTGTGTCTCGGCCTCTGTAGTCCCTGTGGTCAAATCTGCTGTCCTGCCTGGAACCAAAGCCCTGTCTACCATCTCGACACAAGCAGCTGCTGTGCAGAAGAATAAACTCAAGGAACCTGGGGGAGGTTCTTTCCGGTAAGTTCTGGGCCTGGTAGGTTCCGGGCCTATGCTCACGGCGGGAGTGCCCCCCGGGAGGGAGAGGGGCCTGGAGAGTGCATCCTTCCCGCGTGCGGCCTGAGAGTGAGCCCCAGTGTTCGCTCCGGGAGGTATGTCGCACACACCCAACAGGTAGACGGATGACTGTCATCCAGGCTGACGCAGATTCTTTGTTATGATAGCCCTGTTGTGAGTTGAGCATGATCCTCCGTGTAGATGACAGAGACGATCTGGCTCACAGTCTTGAGCTCTGGAATCTCTAGAAGCCCTGCAGTGGGCTCTGGTCTGCGCCTGGCCATAGGGGAGGCTCACTCATTAGGGAGGGAAACTGATGGACTGATGGGGATGGCTGCTACCTTGGCCAAGCAGGAGCAGCATGGGCATGTACTAGGGGGGTCTCTTGGGACTGTTCCATGCCAGACAGCTCTCTCCTTGAGCCATTGTGTAGGACAAGCAGGGCTGAGGGCTGTGATGCCCCGGGTGGCAAGTCCAAGCAGGATGAGGAGCACAGGGTGGGGGTGGGTCTCAAATCCAAGCAGAGTGAGTAGGGCATAGGGGTGGAGCTGCTGGTGGAGATGAAGGGAACTTAGCTCCAGACCAAATCACAGAAGTAAACCAGGCTTGTGGCACTCAGGGGTCTCAGTGTTGGGGAGGGAGTTAAAAACGTTGGGAAGGACTCAAGTCAGAAGAGCCTGTGTTGTTGAGTAGACCTGGGAATGGGGTGTGATCTTTGGGAGTTCTGTCCAGAGCCATGTGTAGGTATAATCATAGGTTGAGCTGCACGTGTGGGTGTGAACTCGGTGTCTCAGTGTCCAGAGCTGGGTGTAGACATGACTGTACGTGGAGCTGCACGTGTGGGTGTGAACTTGGGAAGTTCAGCGTCCAGAGCCACGTGTACATGACTGAAGATGGAGCTGCGTGTGTGGGTGTGAACTCGGGGTCTCGGTGTCCAGACAAGACCATAGATGGAGCTGCATGTGTGGGGGTGAACTTGGGAAGTTCAGCGTCCAGAGCTGGGTGTAGACACGACCGTAGATGGAGCTACACATGTGGGTATAAACTCGGGGCTTCAGCATACAGAGCCTTTCAAAGGGATGTGGTGCCACAGGTCCTCTAATTTCAGGAGGAGGGAGGAATACCACTCTTAGCATCAGCCCAAAGCTGACTCCTAGGAGGCGGAGACTGACATTCCTCTCTCCAAACTTTGTACCATTTCTGACACTGACCACCCCTTCCACGGCATTCTGCTTCTCTGCTGGGTTTGGTAATTCATTGCAATGACTGTACAGACACACAGACCATACTCATGATTGTGGGGGCTATTAGAGAAGTAACAAGGTAAACTTTAGATCAGGACCAATTTGGAGGTAACTGGGACAACTCAGGAGATAGCTCTTCAACCAGGACAGCTTCTCAGCCGTGCCCACTGGCAGGCCTCTTTCTCGGCCCTTGGCCCTGGCTCCTCAGCTCTTGGCCTGGCAGCTGCCCTGCTTGGGTGAGTGTTACAGATCTTTAGCTCCTCTGATAAGTGCCCGGAGGCACCCTGCTCCACCAGGAAACCTCCTACCCAAAGGCACTCAGCTCTTGCTCTGGGAGTCGTCAAGCCTAGCTCCGCCAGCAGTTGCCTGATGGTACCCCACTCTGCCAGCTGGTGCCCTGCCTGGAAGTGCTCAGCTCTCTTCCTCTGTGGGGTGGCGCGGCTGCTGCTGTAGCCACCTTGCTCTGTGGGCTGTGAAGGCCAGTGTGTGCCGTCTTGCACCAAAGCCAGCTACACTGTTGCAGCTCTCTCTTTTGTCTCCTGGGTCTAGGAGGTTCTCAGCACGTGGACCCTGGGTCCAGAGGATGCCCCCCACTCCTGACTCTTCGTGAGGGTAGTGAGGTTCCCTCAAAACCTCTGGATTGGCTCCCTTTAATCCTAACAGATGGCAAAATGATTAACCCCCTACAAGTGTTCCATGAACCTTATTTGCATGTTCCCACCTCCACATGGGTTCTGTTATGGATTGAACTGTGTTCCCCCAAAATACGTGTTGTAAATCCTAACATGGAAGCCTGTGGTTATAATCTCACCTGGCATTGGATGATCTTATACCTTTATTGGTATGGGATGTATCTTGAGTCAATGTCTTTTGAGATAAAAAAGAGATTAAAGGAGGGAGCAGAGCAGAGCTGGGGTAAGACAGAGGCCAAAACACAAGGAGCTCTCCAAGGAACCAGGAAGCAGAAGCCGAAGAGACAAGGACCTTCCTCCAGAGCCGACAGAGAGAGACCCTTCCTCAGAGCCGGCACCCTGGTTAGGACTTCCAGCTTTCTCAACTGTGAGAGAGCACATTTCTGTTTCTTAAAGCCATACACTTGTGCTATTTCTGTTACAGCAGCGCTAAATTACCAAGACAGCATTTGGTACCAGGAGTGGGGTGCTGCTCTACCAGATGCCTAAAATGTGGAAGTGGTTTTGGAATCGGGGTAATAGGTGGAGGCTGGAAGAGGTTTAAGGTGCCCAAAAATAAAAGCCTAGATTGCTTTGAAGAGAATGTTGACAGAATCATGGATGTCAAAGGCAGTTCTGGTGAGGGCTCAGGTGGAAGTGAGGAGAGGTGTACGGTCTCTGTTGTCTTTACATGTGACACCAGCCACAGACTGTTGCTAGAAATGTGAACGTTTAATGTGCTTCTGATGAGTTTTAAAAAACGATGAGCATGTGATTGGACAGTGGACCAAGGGGGACACTATGCACTGGCAACGAACTTATCTGCATTGTGTTCAAATGTTTGGTGGAAGGTAGCACTTGGATATCTGGCTGATGAGATTTTTAAGCAAGATCTTACCGGGGCCACGTGGTTTCTGCTTGCTGCTTAGAGTAAAATGCAAGAGGAAAGAGATGGACTTAAAAATGAACTGTGCAAAACGAAAACAGAACTTAAAGATTTGGAAAATTCTGTTGTACAAACTAAGGACACATGTCCTAGAATGCTCACCAAGCACATGGCTACACAGTCTTTTGTTAAAGAGATTAAGTCTGTGACTGATGGATCTAACCAACTCCCACAGCAGAAAATCCATCAGCTAAGACTAAAGAGGATGGAGAAAGAACAGCAGGAAAGAATGCTGTCTGCTCTTGGACTTCTACAGGCAGGAAACAGGCTAAAGGAGCCACCTCTGCTGTCCTCCAAGAACAGAAAAGGACCATCGCTGGAGCAGCTCGGGGATCAGCACAACTGTTGGAAGGAGCACGGGCAGCAGGGCCTTCTCTGTCGCAAAGGGTGAGGCCACAGTCTCCTGGGTCTCAAAGGGTGGGGCTCAGCCTCCTAGGTTCCAAGGAGTAGGCCTTTACCAACTTGGTTGTGGAGTGTGCCAGGGGGATGGAGCTGCCACTGAGGTGTGCCGGGGAGGGCGGAGCCTTCATTAAAAGCTAGGGGGGCAGGGCTACCCTGCCTCAGGGACAGAAGAATGGGGCCTGCCAGGGCCAAGGGATTGGGGTTGCCACTCAGATGGACTAGGAGAATGGGGCTGCCCCAAAGCCAAAGAAGCAGAGCAGCCATCCCAGTAGGTCTGGAAGGCAGAGCTGAAACGCAGGGCCAAGGGCCTCTACCCGGAATCCAGAGACCACGGCCAACGCCCAGAGTGGAGGGCAGTGCCATTGCCCAGACGGTCCTGGAGAAGAGTGGGTTATTCTCCAGCCTTGTAACTAATGCCACTTGTTCCGCTGGGTCTGGCGCTTGCTTGGTGCCCGCTAGCCCTTTGTTCCCTGGAGTCTCCCCACTTTATAATGGAAATGTCCACCCTGTGCCTGTCCCACCTTTGTGCTTTGGAGGCAGACGACTTGTAGTCCAGATTTCACAGAGTCACACGTGGAGAGGAGTTTTACCCAGGGATGGAGCCCACCTAACGTCTTACCGACATTTGATTTAGACGATTCAGAAGATGAAATTTTGGATTTGAGTTCATTTAAGACTTTAGGGATGATGCGATGGGGTTAATGTGTTTTGCATGTGGGAAGAACATGAAAGTTTTGGAGGCTAGAGGGTGTGGGATATTATGGGTTGCATTGTTTTCCCCCAGAATGTGTGCTGTAAATCATAACCTGTAGACTTGTGGTTATAACCCCATTGGGCAATGGGCCGTCTTTGTTATGTTGATGCGGCAGGATCAGTGTAGGGCTGAGGGAGTGGAGTTAGTGTCTTCTGAGACAGAACAGAAGTTGGAGAAGCCAGCTGAACAGAGATGGCATCAGGCAGATGCCAAGATACGTGGAGATCTCCAGGGAGCTGGGAAGTAGAAGCTGAAGAGACAAGGACCCTCCCCGGAGCTGACAGAGAGCAAGCCTTCTTTGAGGGCTGGTACGCTCAATTCAGATTTCCAGTCTTCTACTGTGAGAAAGTAGGTTTCTGTTTCCTAAAGCCACTCCCTTTTGGTATTTCTCTGATAGCAGCAGTAGAGAATGAAGACAGGGTCCTTGTACCTTATTTGCATTAGCAGAATTGTCCAATCCCCTTCATGGACCACCAGCACCTTGTTTGCACAACTCTACCCAGTCATTTTGTGGTCCTTCAAGACCATGGCTGGAAGGACCGTATTGAAGCAGTTCACTGTAGGGCCGGGTGTGGACACACATGTAGGCAGCAGCAGCTCTCTGTGAACACCACAGACACCTGGATGCTGTAGCACCCCAGCAGTGTGAGCGTGCTGTACACCTGGATCTTGTCCTCTAAATCCCAGTCTTACCGAAATGACGAGGCCTTGAGAAAAGGCCAGGGATGGGCTGGGAACAGTGCCAGGAGAGCTGGTAGGGCCTATGCTGCACCAAAGTAGGAAGTCCCCAAAGATCGAACAGTTCAGACTCCCGAATGGTCTTCCCCTGGCCCCTGGGGGGACGGTTAGAGCATCAGACTGACTCGTGACTGTGGCAGATTCTGACTGCAGAGGAGGATTGGAAACCCGAGTCCATGCAGGCCTCACCCACAAATAGGCTGGGAGTTTAGAGAGAGTGGAGTGTCCCCAGGAAGGCTCACTGACCACAGGCGACAGTCAGTGGGTGATGCACGGCCGGCAGGCACCCACAGGCTGGAATGCATCGGGGGAGGCCAGTGAGTTGGCCGCTGTTGCTGCGTGAGAGTCCTGCACAGCTGCTCACCCACGGTCACCCCCGTTCTGCGGCTTTCCTGCCTGGGATCTTGGGGAGCACTATCGTGCCTGGGGTCGGTTCCCAAGGCCGCAGGGCACTTGATGAGCAGGCCCTTGCCTGGAGGACGTCGTTGGGACACAGCCTGGCCTGCGGGCTCCATGGAAGCACACCTGGACACTGTCTCTGCCATTCGTCCACTTCTGCATGAAACTGTGCTCGTCTGGGAGGGATCACTACAGCTGTGACTGGACAAAGCCAACACACGGAGGCCTCTACTCGGGAGAGACGCCTCTGAGCAGCGAACAGCCTCAGTTACCGCTTTCCCACCCGCACCGGCTGCGCTGCCCTCTGTACACGCGTGTGCAGGTCCGGGCCTGGCCGCAGCCCCACGCGGTCCTCCTTTGATTAATGTTCACGTGAACTAGGCAGCTCCCTCTCAGACTGTGGAAGGCAGGCAGAGGGCAGGAGCCGGGGGCCAGGGCCGGCGTGGGCGTGAGCCGCGCTCTCACGATGCAGCCCTCGATCCCAGCCACCGAGCTGCGCCTCCTGACACGTTCCTTGTACAGTTCAGTGATCTTGTCTCCTGTTCTCTAGGGATGATGACGACATCAACGATGTCGCCTCAATGGCGGGAGTAAACTTGTCTGAAGAAAGTGCAAGAATATTAGCCACGAACTCTGAGCTAGTTGGGACGCTAACGAGGTCTTGTAAAGACGAAACGTTCCTCCTCCCAGCTCCCTTACAGAGAAGAATATTAGAAATAGGTGAGTTCGGGTCTGGTGACTGTCACTGGGAGTCAGGTGTCCGTGTGTGCGGGTGAGGTGTGCACTGGGACTTCACCACGGACCGACTGTGAAGGTCCCCTCCTGCCAGCAGCCCCACTGGCAGTGGTATGGCTTCCGTGATGTGCCTTGTCAGACGAGTCAGGATTCCATCCATGTGGCTGATGGTGTGGCTCTCAGGTAGCTGAGGTGCCTGTGACCAGCCTCCCCCACTCCTGTGGGGCTGCCTTCAGGTGGCCTGCACGTGGCGGGCGAGTAGGGGGACAGGCAGTGGTACTGAGGGAGGAGCAGATGTGTGAAGTGACGGGAGCACTCTCTCATCTTGCCTGACTGTGACCCAGGTAAGAAACACGGCATCACGGAACTGCATCCCGACGTCGTAAGCTACGTGTCGCACGCCACGCAGCAGAGGCTGCAGAACCTTGTAGAGAAGATTTCAGAGACGGCACAGCAGAAGAACTTCTCCTACAAGGTGAGGGGCCTGCCCCCAGGAGCCGTCCGGAGCTGCTTCCGGCCCCGTACAGGGTCGGGGGTCCCTTGGACCTGTGTTGGACCTTCAGGGGTAGATTTCATTCCTTCTGGCTGCGTGGTGTCCTTGGCTGTGGGGGTGGGGGTCAGGGAGCTGTGTGAGGCTGCTCTCTGGGGCTTGGACAGTGAAAGGGAGCCCAGTCAGCTGAGCAAACTAGCAGGTCTGTGCTCTCCTTTAGTCCTGGGGGGAGGAGCCACAGGGGACCCTGCAGGTCGGTCGGCTCAGCACCGAGGCTGAGCGTCCCTGTGGAGCCTGGCGACGCCCCTGAGGCCCTGGGGGCATTTTCCTGTTTCAGGCAGGGTCCCTGTCAGAGCCCCAGCCCCATGCAGCCAGTTTTCAAGGCAGGCCTTAGAGATCCTGTGACTGCCACTCCAAGGTCATAGGGCCCTTGGGTGCTGTCAGTCGGGGGAGCCCCAGAGGGACCATGTCCACCGGAGCCTGGAGCCAGTGCCTTCAGAGCAGGACTCGGTGTGGGAACGTTGAGCCTGCTGACCTTCTAAAACGGGTTTGACATTGTTGCAGAAGGGTTTGATGTTGGACAGATCCAACAGTACTGAAGTGTGTAGGGTGGGAAACGCCCCATGAGGCACCCCAAGACGAGCAGTGTGAGATCTCTGTGTGTGCGTTACCACGCGTGGCGCCACAGGGGCCGTCTGTAAGGTGGGCAGCCCTGGTCTACTGTGACACCACCTGTGGGAAGAGGGATGAGGCAGCTGCCTCCACGGCCCAGCCGCCCTGCGCTCACGGAACGCAGGATCTCTCACTGACGCAGACTGCGTTGTCCCCTTTCTTGCAGGATGATGAGAGATATGAGCAGGCAAGTGACGTCCGGGCTCAGCTCAAGTTCTTCGAGCAGCTCGATCAGATTGAGAAGCAGAGGAAGGACGAGCAGGAGAGGGAGATTCTGATGCGAGCTGCCAAGGCGAGCGCTGGGCCTGCGGCCCGTCCCCTGGGGGGGTGCCTAGATAGAGGGAGAGGCAGGAAGAGGAAGGGCTGCGGAGGGAACCACGGGGCCTCCACACTCACTCAGTCTGTGGGCCCGCGGCCCGTCCCCTCGGGGGGCGCCTGGAGAGAGGGAGAGGCGGGAAGAGGAAGGGCTGCGGAGGGAACCACGGGGCCTCCACGCTCAGTCTGTCCCAGCCCAACTGTGGACAGGCGTGGAGCCTAGCTGTCGGTGTAAACAGCCCGACGCCTCCAAGCTGAGCTGCTGTTGGAACGGAGAATGCGTGTGGGGGGAGGCTCCCTGTTGGCGCCTCGTCCGAGCCAGTGTGAACTCGAGGCGCTTGGTGGTTCTCCGCTGTGACCTGGAACAGGAGCCGGGGCCCGTGGCACAGTTCCACGCCGTCCTCTGGGGACACTCTGAGTCAGAGCCACCTGGTGGTGGGCCGTGGGGGGGTGTGTGGATTTTTTTTTTCGTAACATGAAACCCATTGCTTTCTAGTTGGTTCCAGGTCATATCAACCCCGTAGGACAGTGAAGTTGCCCCGTAGGGTTTCCTAGGCGGTCTTCTGTCCAGAAGCAGACTGCCTCATCTTTCTTTCTCAGTGACTAGTGTGTTTGAGCTGCCAAACTTTTAGTTAGTAACCAAGCGCTTAACCACTGTGCTACCAGGGCTCCTCTTTAGTAATACGCCTCATTGTTAATAGGATCAGAGATGAGTCCATATTCCACGGAAAAGATTAAGGCGGGAGGGGCATCTAGGTTAATGGTGGTCATGTGGGGACAGGACCGTAACAGTCCAGGGGCCTGTGAGGCCTGGACACACTGTCCCCGTCTTACACTAGATTGCTGTAATTGGTAGCTTTATGCTAAAGACTGTTCCTTACCCAAACAGCATTGGTCTTCTTAAAAATAATTTCTTTTTGGTGATGGGCAGCCTAAATTTTCATCTTTAGGCTGCAAGGGTGTTACCATTGTGTGTGTTCTGCTGTCAGCCTCAGGTGTCCACGAGTGAGTTGTCACAGGGAGTGAGGGCATCCTGGCAAGGTGAGAGCCGTGCTGTCCATAACTTACTTTCCTTTTCTGTCTTTTGAAAACAGTCTCGATCCAGACAAGAAGATCCAGAACAGTTAAGGCTGAAGCAGAAGGCGAAAGAGGTAGGCATTTTCTGGGACCAGCTCTTTACTCCGCGGAGCTGGCGTGTGGTCAGCCTGCTCTGGGACCAGCTCTTTACTCTGCAGAGCTGAGACATGGTCAGCCTGCTCTGGGACAAGCTCTTCACTGTGCTCTGCAGAGCTGGTGCGTGGTCAGCCTGACATTCAGCAAGAGAGACGCGCTCAAGGACACGAGGGTGTTTCTGTACGCGGGCGCTTACGGTGCCCCTTAGAACGTTTGCAGAGCTGCACGATGCCGTGCCAAGTGTTCTGCTGAGCAAATCACTCGTGTCCTACTCTCTGTTTTTAATATTTCTCTCTGGGTGGCATTCAGCCACGTGCTCATGACGTGTCCACGTCTCCTGAGCTTTCCAGGACGAACATCTGCTGCTCTCCGTAAAGCCCCTACTTTTCAGGTTATGGAGCTGATATGCTTACTATTCAAAGACAATCCAGGCATTAGAGAAACCATGTTTAGGAAATTTCAGAAAACCCTTTGGTGTCTATGAATTATTTTCATCGTAAGCAGAAAACGTGAGAGATGATATTCCTCATTTCTTTTCAAAACAAAGATGCAGCAGCAGGAGCTTGCCCAGATGAGGCAGCGAGATGCCAACCTCACGGCACTGGCAGCCATCGGGCCCCGGAAGAAGAGGAAAGTGGATTCTCCAGGACCAGGGTCAGGAACAGAGGTACAGCGGCGTCCTGGGGTTTTAGGTCCAGACGGGGCTTGGGGACACCTGACAGCTCACTTCTTTGTGCTTAGACACGCATAGGAATCCCTCTCTTCCCGTTTATGTCTTGTCTCAGCCTCCTTGGAGTACTTGTTCTGTGTTTCATTCTTTAAAGTCAAATCATGAGCTCAGTGTTGCTTCTAGGAGGAGGTTAGATTACTGTAGTTTCATATGACGAGGTTGTGGCTGACTTTGAAAATAACATGGAGGTAACCAGAAATATGAACAAAGCTGTTTTGGAAGAAGTAGAGCCAGAATACTCCTTGTAAGTGAGGCTGGCCAGGCTTTGTCTCGTGTGCTTGGACGTGTCTCCAGACAGGACCGGTTCCTGGAGAAGGATGTCATGCATGGGTGGTAGGGGTTGAGCGAGATAGGAGACCCTTGGTGAGACGGAGGGAGACCGCAGCTGCGGCTGCGGGCTTGGGTTGGGAGGTGACAGTGCGGCTGCCACAGTTGGGCTCGGGGCCGGGAATGACAGCAGGGCAGGAGCCGTGGGCTCGGGTTGGGAGGTGACAGTGCGGCTGCCACAGTGGGCTCGGGGCCGGGAGGTCACAGCGCGGCTGCAGCCGTGGGCTCGGGGCCGGGAGGTCACAGCGCGGCTGCAGCCGTGGGCTCGGAGCCGGGAGGTGACACTGTGGCTACCGCAGCGGGCTCGGGTCGGGCAGGGTTCCATCCTTTTGTCCGTGAGGTTGCTGAGTTGGAATGGACTTGATCGTCCCTAAGGACAGCAGCAGCTCTGAGCCGCCCCCGAGACCAGCCCCCGCTGGAGGCTGCGCAGCTAGTGCTGTGCAGGGAGGAACCACTGCCTGCTGCTGTTTGTCTAAATTTTTAGTGTTTGGTTGGTTTCTTGTCCTACCTTTATACATACGTAGGTACACATCCAACCTTAAAAGGTGTGTTAGTCTTGCTTTTAATTGTCAGTAAGTTACAGGAAGAAAGAGAACACGGTTTCATATCCACTTATTTGACCGTTTCTGGTGCTTTTCCTTCTTTCCGGCAGATCTGAGTTTCTATCCAATATCACTTCCCTTTGGTTTGAAGGACAGCCTTTGGCATTTCCTGTGGGGCAGGTGTACGGGCGGCACACTCCCTCAGCTTCCGTTTACCTGAAGGAATTATAATCCATTCTCATTTTGGAAGGATGTTCCCCTGGATATGAAGTTCTGGGTTGACAGTTGGTTTTTTAAAGGTGGTGTTCTGTTGTCTTCTGGGGTCCAGCCATAACTCTGTCCTTGTCCCCTGAATGTCATGTGTCTCTCTTCTCAGGCTATGTTACCATGTTTCTCTTTAGCTGTTTTCTAGCAGTTTGTGTTGTGTTTAGGTGTGGTTTTCCTTACATGTTCCCCTCTTGGGGTTCACTGAGCTTCTTAGACCTGTAGGTCAGTATTTTTTCATCAAATTTAGAATGTTTTGGCCATATATATATATATATA